AAGGGCATAGTTTGAGGGAGCCAAATTGTAATTTTTTCCAAAAAAAAAATAAAAAATGCAACTATGACAGTCTGAACTGCAAGAGCAGCATACAGCACAAAATGATGAACTCTCTCTGAATTTCGGTTTTGAAGCATCATTGTCAAGGTGACATGGTTAATTTAACTCTCAAACAAGTGCACCCATATACGATAATACGAAGGATTATTGACTATAAATTACACAAAATACGCCTGAGCTAAAATTAAGTTTACATAATATACATTAACGGAATTCGAAAATTCTTACATAGTTAAGGAAGAATCCCTGCTACATCTAGAATAAACCAGTTCTTTAGCCCTTATACGATATGTGAATGATCCTCATGACACCATAATGCAAAGAAATGGACTGAACTTGATGAAGAGAATGGGGATCACCTTAGGGATAATTGGTCACGATTCGAAATTGTTGAACTGCTGAAGCATATGGAAGATTGTAATATTCTGGGATGAAAGAGGATAGAAAGGTGGCATTCTCAATAAGGGGGTTACAGTATTGTCCGAGTGGGTAAGTGTGTGATGCCTCTTGCGAACAGCTCGAACTGGAGGCTCTGCAGCCACCACCACCATTCCTTCTTTGTTCATCAATGCTGGTTGTTCTGCTCTCCTCCCCAAGCTCTCTGAATTCCGTCCTTCATCGTGCATTTTATTATCCTTTGGAAGTGCACAATGAGAAAGTCAGAAAGTCAGATGGTTAGATTTCTGTTCTGTCTTAAGTCATCATCGAATATATGTAACGAACGTTAAAAACCATGTTCAATATTGAAGCTACTATAGTCAAGAAAGTTGCATTTGTGATTGTCTGCTAGTAGGTGATGGGTCTCACTAATAGTTTCAATATGCAATAACAAAGATGGGCATGCAAATCTAATATTTTTGGTGCAGAGACATCCGAAAGATTAACAGGTCTAGGATAGTTGAGTGTGCTGTAAAATAATATGAAATCTCATAGGTTCTACCTTATAAACAAAATGAACCACAATGCCGTATCCCATTAAAAATACTTGTCAAAGCACCAAAAGTATCAAATTCTTCCATCACAATGTCCATATGAATAATACAGTTGACTTTGTAATCCCACTATTCACCCCTACAACAACACCAAGCCTATTTCCTATGCAGATTATGGGTGGATAACTGCTGGTTGGGCGGGGAAAGAATGGAATTTTACCAGATTCTGCTTGGTTCGATTCCCTGTTCATTTTGTTCTTTCTCTTTTGCCACCAGCAGGAGGGAGTAAAGAGAGGATAATGAAAGAGAAACTGTTTCCTTGGAGAGAATGCTGTAAACTATTGTATCTGCTAAGAACTTTAAGATGGTGAGGTGAAATGAGTGAAATTCTCATTTTACCCTTGCGGTCCTCGTGCTCTAATTGCCTAATTTAGGAAGACTGAGGACCTCTTGCAAAGGGAGAACTTGTTCAAGCAATTTTCATAGAGAGGAGGGTGGGAGGAAGAGAGGGGAGGATAGAAGCACTACATTATCACGACCACTATACCGAATCCATTCTCATTCATAAGAAGGCGCATGTTGTGGCAATTCCACCAAATCTGATTAACGGTAGCTTCTTTTTATTTTGGAATGCTCAATTTTTTTGGGAGAGGGTAGAACCCACAACCACTTGTGGGTGGGAGTGAGCTCTTTCCATTGGGCCACTCCCTCATCTCTGGGCAAGTTCTTTGGGGGCTTTAAATTGACGGGTTAGTGTAAGTTTATCTACAGACTGTTGTTCTCATTTTCTCGCTTGACAGTCTTAACCCTTAGCAAGCGGGTATGTATTGTTACCTATGGACAAACCATGTCTTTGTTCATTGTAATTTGTGATGCCTCCTAGAGTTTCACATCTCGTTTAACATTTATGTCTCCTATGTCTTAACTGATTTTTAAAAATTTCACACAGTAACGTCCAGTCAAAGTTTGATAGGCTTGTGGATTTGGATGAAAATCCATCCAGAATGTGTAGAATAGACAATGCCATCATTTCAGGGGGGTCAAGTTAGAGAGGCCTAAGTCTCACTGTGGAGTTCAAAGCATGCTAAGGCCAAAAACCTTCTAGTTAAATGCCTTTATGCCTACCTTGAACTCAGCAGCAAAAACTCTATGACTTATGTATCTAACTGCACTGCAACCACTTCAGCCTAAAATTTTTGGTAAAGCCAAAATAGCCTACTTACCAACTTTTACTTCTCAAGTGAAGTTGCTAACTGTTAGCCCCTTAGCTCATTGGCACGGCTATTGCTTGAGGGTGACTCGCCCAATGGCGTCTCGTGCCTTAGTCAAGGTGGTGATGTACTTGGACAAGCACTCCCGCATTGCAAAGATGGCTCCCTATAGGATCGATGATTTGTGGGATCTGTTGTTGGTGGAATCCCCATGCATGGCTGAGGGAGGCACCACATGCATGGGCACAAGCAAGCAAGGCATAGCCATGTGGGACTTCGATTGAGGTGCATTGCATGCTTGGAAGACCAAGCCCTGGGCTGGGCATGGCTTGACTCGTTGGCAAGGAAAATTGTGCTGACAAGGATGACATGTGCTGGTAAGGATGACATGTGCTGGTCATGTGGGGCAGTTGTGGACAGTCAATGGCTGACTCATGCAGCAGTTATGAAGGCACAACTGCTACAGCCATGCCAGATGCTTCTAATTGGCTAAACAACATTGTAGGGGTGTGACAAAACCACTCCATCCTTGAGGGCGAATCTGACTGGTGCCAACAATCCTAACAGTTGGGGGATGTAATTGTTATGCAGGTTTAAATACAGATGCTAGGGTCGGTAGTATCTAACAATAGAGTTTAACACGTTTTTGTAATAGACCTTTAGCTGGATTCCTTTGTGCTTGTTGAGAAGTAAAATGTTGGGACATTGTCTTATAAACTCATGTGTGCCTGCTGTGTTTGTGTTTGTGTTTGATTCTTGCTCATTACTTGTTTAATATATTATTTATGTGACCCTCTCGTATTCATTTGATTGTGGAATCTCAATGTCATCACTAAGACAAAAAATTTGTATGTAATTTGATCCTAGCGACACCAACCCACAACCATCAGATATTTTCGAGAACTCTTATTTTGACGATGGTGAGTGTGCCACCTCACTTCAGAAGTCAAATTTCATAAAAGTATTTGGTCAGCAACTCAACATAACTTTGATAACATGTTTAAACACAACTCTATTTATCGGTAACTGTGTTCTTTTTTGAACATCATTTCTTCCTCCTAACACCTCAACTAAAAATGTTAAGAGGAGTGAATTTATTTCAAACTTTAACCTTTGGCATTATTGCACAAAAAATTTATAATTACATTCAAACCCAAAATAGTTGTGACAATGTGCTTGAGATAAAATTTAACACCAGCTAAGACAATTATTCTCTCCCTTTTTAATCCCGGGTTACTAAAAAAAAAGATGACTAATATACGAAACTTCTATCATTGCGGACTCAAGAGAGGATCAATTGAACTAACTTTACCTCCCAAGTGTAGGGCCACTACTAAGGACGATAGTGGACTGAAGCGAAGGCAGGGAGTATAGTCTCCATCTCCGTACCTGCTTAAAAAAATTCCTTTCATCTTTGGTCTATCACCATTAACAGATATTGTTTTCATCTCATCCCCATTCGGGTAAATTTGAAATCCCCTCCCCCGCCTTCACCTCCGCCCCCACCCTCGTCTACTTTTCTCGTCCGAGCCCAAGCCTAAGCTCAAACCGATATAATCCAAAATTCTAAATAAATTTAATATTCTAAATAATTCAACATAATTATAGAATATCATAATATAATTAAAAGTTTGTCATTTACAATATAATATAATTAAAACTTTGTCTACAACATAATCCAACATAATATAATTAAAAGTTTGTCTCTTTATAAATCCAACACAATATCATGTAACACATTTAATGTAACATAACATAATCCAACATTAAAAAAATATAAAAACACAAAAATCTACAATTTTACAAGCTAAAACCATGAAAAAAAATTAAAAAACAAAACAATCTTCAAAAGAAAAAATCAGTCAATAATATGTAGATTTGTATTCACATCAACACGTATATTTGTGTGTATATATATATATATACATATATAAATACAATAATAATAATAACAACGGATAAAGCGGAGTGGGGCAGGGTAGGGCGGGGTGGGGTAAGCGTCAGTCCATCCCTGCCTTCATCCCTGCACGGGTTTATATGAATATTTCTGTATATACGTCCATCATTCAATACATATGATTTGTCCCAACCTAAATGAAACGTATTTAGACGAATACCCATTTTTACCACGTGCACTATCATCCCTGGCCACTACGGTAAAACACAACTCAACGTATGTGAAAATCAGATAAGATGAGATAGCACAGGTAGAGACCCAAGTGAATGTAAAACCCACTTACATTTGTGACAGAAGAGCCTGGCATTGGGCACTTCAAAGGGCGATCTTCATCCAGTGGCTCAAGGGGGTGTTCAATTGGCCAGAACTCAATGTCACTTTCGAACTCATTTAGACGGACATCCATACCACCCGTCTGTCTTCTCTCCCCGGTTTCATCTATCGATGGAATTATGCTTTCGTTCTTATCCTATAATTCAAAAACAAACCAAAGTTACACGAGAAAGCTTAAAAAATTTCTAACCAAAGCTATTATGTATATATGTATTTAGACACATATTTGTGTACATGGTGTAAAGAGAGGGAGAGAGTGGGTGGGGGAGAGAGAGGGAGAGAAGACAAGGTGTCTTACACAATTCTCCCCACATGAAAAACCCATGTAGAGAAATGACATTAGATTATGCAAGAAAATGACCAAGCAATGAAAGACAAATGTATCGAATAAACACACTCACATACACACAGACAGGGAGGGAGAGAGAGCGAAAGAGAGAGAGAGCATGTGAAAAAGGGTATTACCAGAGAGAGAGAGAGGTGGCATGGTGGGATCCCTGAACAGTGAAAGATAAGAAAAGATTCTCCCCATTTCTCCACCTAGTTAACCTTTTTGTTCCTTTATTGGGTCCCTATCTCTCTCTTTTGGTGTCTATGTCGAGAGGGATCGAGGGAGAGAGGGAGCTTTTTCACTTTCTTTTGCTTTAAGAACAGTACCAGTTTGTTTGAAAAATATACCACTCTATCACTTTTCATCTTTCTCGGTTTTGCAGAAGTTGGCAAGTTGCTTAACAGGGACAAACATGCGTGCTGTTACAAATTCTACAATGCATGCTGGCACAGAGAGAGAGAGAAAGAGAGAGAGAGAGCACTGATAAAAAAGTGAGCAGCTGGCTGTGTGGCTGTGCCACCCAAGAAAGCGACGATACTAGCGGAAAGCGCGAGACTGAAGCCCGTCTTTAGCCTTCTTTACTCGGCTGCATTTGGTTTTACTCGGCTGCATTTGGTTTCTCAAAGGAGGGATGATATGGAGATTTAATTTATTGATATCATGTATTATGATCTTTGGATAGATTCTATCAAATATTAAAATTGAGTATTAATAAAATGACTCTAATAAAATTATATCATTAGTCCAACAAATTAGGTCATTTTTAAATTTACATATCATTACTCTTCTCGAAGAGATATGTACATTGGCGGAGATTATCAGCTTGAGATCATTGATTTCACATTGTGTATGAATAAACAAT